TCAGCATGCTTTTTTATGATCAAAAGTAAAGCTTTCTTTGTGTATTTTTGTAATTCCTGTATTCTTTACGGTTCAGTTTGGATTCAGTTTGGATCGAACCCTAAACAGTGCGATGAATCCATATTTAGATAGTCACCAGGAGAGATGCGTACTTCAAAACATTTCGAGCGTCGAATCCGATATCGAACAAAGAGATGACAGTGCAGTCATATATTTTACAATGGACTTAAAGAACAATAAGTAAGTATCGTTAAATACAATGTACATGATATTTTACCATGCTTGTTTTGAAAATTTACTATGATAAATGAACATGGACAAACTTGTTTCAGGTTGAAGGTAAATTGTAGTCGAAATGTACACACGGCATATATTTACAACGATTCCCGTAAAGTAGTCAAACTTCGGAAAAAGAGAGATTCTCTTCCATCAACGTTCAGCGATACCGTTCTTTTTGCACGAAGAAAACGTTATAATTCGCGCAGTAAGTAATACTTCGTACAACAAACTTTTTTCGTTATTTAAATTTTTTTGCCAGTAACTGTAAATCGCTGTATTCATTAACGAATATCATGTCACACAAATTCTTGAAGAAAATTTATTTCAGTACCGACCAAAACGCTTAGTTAAATTTAACCATGTCATAAATATATTTATGCCTTTAGAACTATTCCTTACATTAAACAAATCTCTTTCTTTTACTTTAAAAAAATAAAAGATAATAATAAAATTACATGGATATCTTTATAAAGTGCTAATTTTTCATTTTCTCCGCTAAAACGAAGGAACAAATTGCTTTAAGAGATGAATAGTTTTCATAGAGGAACAAGGATTTGATTCGTCGGTCGTGTGATACATTCATAAGTTTGGCAGGTATCCAAACGTAGGTAGTAGTCAAGGGAAAGATCGCGCTGAATGGGTAAAGTGTTACTTTGTAATACATTGAAATTTTCCTAGTTTTCATATCGTACGTCACTAATTTGCGTTTCGTTTCTTTTGTCGGATAATTATAAATTACATAGTTTTATAGAGATTTCGGTTTTACAACCTCGGCTATTCTATTCTTTGTCATTCACTTTGAAATGTCGAGTAATTTCTAAGAGATTGAAATTACATTCGATGGATTATAGAAACGATTCACTATTGCTTTTATCTGATCTTGAGCAATTTACAAATGTTTATCAGCATTAGCACAGATAGCGTAGCGGAAATAGACACCTTTACATCCGTAAGTTATTTTTAACATGGAATGTTACTAACATTAGAATTTTGGTTCAATCGTAACGCAGTTTAACAGGTGGAAAGTAAGAAGTTGGCACGAATTACATTGATCTCTACTTCGGAATATATTCGTTAACATTTCCTTTCCAAAGCGATTTGTTTCCTACACATTCATGTGTGTTCTCTAACTTCATTTATACGATAATTGTTCTTGGACATAACAATTGGAAGAATTGAACATTACAGATACGGTCTTTAATGATCAGCGAGTTTGAAAGTTATCAGAGTGATAGCATATATTTGAATTGAGCGTAATTTGCCACTAAGATAACGCTATAAATCATCAGACGTTCGTTCAATTGTATTTATTTGCTACATTGGACTTGTATTTATTTCATCTAATGTATGTATATAATTGACTCTTTGATGACGATAGAGAAATGAGTCATAGTATTACGTTAGCATGACGCTGATTCCGACTTTAATAGTCGACTTATATGATGTTTGTAAGGGCATAGCGATACGCATTCTATTTTTCACAATAATTATCAAGCTTGGAATTATGATTTTAATATGCAGTCTTGTTCAACGAGACTTTCTTTAATACGAAATGTTGCAAAAATATGTTGAAAACCTAGCTGTAAGCATTTCATATGGTAGTGAAACTAAAAACGACTGTGATCGATATCTTATGGAATGTAGACTTGAAGCGACATCGGTGATCGAACACCAGTGAGATGAGAGTCGCTATAATTAACGTGACTCGTCCTCAATCTTATAAATAACACGAAACTCAAGTATTTTTGAGGGTTTGGTTAGGTAACTGTCTTCTACAGTAGTACATTTTATGCCAATGATATTTTAACCGGATTATATCGAACTTACAGCCAAAACTCTATTCAATGAAACCGTTTTAATGGATTTCAAAACAAAATAATAATAATTTCTTCTAGTACTTTGCGAAATCATTTATCGTTAACTCAATAATAATGTAATCTCAACAGATGTCGAAAGATTCATTATCGAGGATGAATTTGAATCCAGATCGGAAGGTAATGCCTGTTCTCGCGTCGAGTTACGGATGACCGTACAGACTATAAAAGGAAAAAGATATTACAATACGAGTTTCGCTATGTATGTCGCCAGCGAGGAAGAGGAAGGGCTCTATAATCTTTACTTCCATAACTGTCCGAATTACAAATATGACTCTCGGGTTGCATTAGATTTTACGGTAAGACCTTGCCTTTTTCTCTAAAAGCTTGAATAAAAATTGAATAAAGACAATTATATTATGATCTAACGAGATATAATTTATAGATACAAATATCGGAAATAAACAATGGAAATTTCCTCAGTGCAGGTGAAATGCCACTACCAACTCTCTATTTTATGATGGCACTTTTATTCTTTTTATCAGGTTGTTTCTGGTTATTCATTCTTAAGAAGAGCAAGTAAGAGTTTCGATTAAATTCGAGCAACATAGTTTCATTGTTACAACGAGATCCTCTTCTTCTTTGCAAATATATATATTTTTTGTTTAGGCACCCCGTTTTTAAGATTCATTACTTAATGGCGGTCTTGGTATATCTAAAATCGATGTCGTTACTCTTTCATGGGATTAATTACCATTTTATTCAAACAAAAGGAGAACACGTTGCTGCTTGGGCAATCCTATATTACATTACCCATTTACTGAAAGGAGCTGTGCTCTTTATCACGATTGTATTAATTGGTACAGGCTGGACATTTATTAAACATATTTTAGCAGATAAGGATAAAAAGCTCTTTATGATTGCGATACCGTTACAGGTTAGCATAAAAATATATCTATAGATAGTGGGGAAGAATAGATATCTTACAAAATATTTCCATTTTTTAGGTATTGGCAAACGTGGCAGAAATAATAATGGAAGAAAGCGAGGAAGGAGATATCGAACATAAAACGTGGCGAGACGTTTTTCTTTTCGTGGATTTGCTTTGTTGCGGTGCTATTATATTTCCAGTAGTTTGGAGTATCAAGCACGTAGAGGAAGCTGCGCATACAGATGGCAAGGCAGCAGTAAACTTACGCAAGCTCAAGCTCTTTAAGCATTTTTATATTATGATAGTTTCTTATATTTACTTCACAAGAATCATCGTGTACTTACTTAAGGTATAATTTTAATTACGTTACGGTGTTTTCCATTTCTTATTTTGTCTTATCGCACTTTTTGGAAATAATTTTAATCTCGATGTTTTATTTTATAGATTACAGTACCTTTTCAATACGAATGGTTAGATGAAATATTCCGAGAAATGTTCACATACGTCTTTTTTGTCCTTACTGGGTATAAGTTCCGAGCAGCATCCACGAATCCATATTTTACGTCAACTAATGACGAAGCAATTCCCGCTGATGATGACGACGAAACGGATGTCGTGTGAGTATCCATTTTATTTTGTATTTCCTCTTTTAATTCTAGAAACCTTATTACTTCATTTTCATACATTATTTTCAATCATTTTAATATTTTTTATCTCTTTAATTTTCTATATTTTGGCCAGTTCTAATCTGACAACCTCAGTATTTTTTCCAGTGTTTCCGGTGGTAGTGGTATTACCGAGGGTCTTAGTAAAGTTAGCAAGGTTTCAAAAGTTTTAAGGCCCACAATTTCGGATATTCCAGCCACTCAAGAGGAGAGAGAGTGTTTATTTAATAAGACAGAACCTTCTCACGAGTACGACTGAATAACATTAAAGTTGATCGTAATGAATAATTTCATCATGACCGAAAGTAAAAGACCCGTTTTCTGTCTTGTGATATTTCTAAACAGTACCAGCAGCTAGAATTTAGCGCGAACAATGTTTAAAAACAATCTAAAGAAGACGGAAATACGTAGTTAAAAATAGCATCAACTTCGTTATTTGGATTTGTTTTGTATATTTTTTGTATAGCAGTAAAGCTGATATTTTATTTAACAAATGATCACGTATTGTGTTGCTTTTTATTTTAAACTTGCAGTACCTATATGGAACTGATTTTTATTCGGAACTCAATTCAATTTTATGTGGAAATCGTTTCGTTCCAGATTTAAGCATGATATTTTTTCCATTTATCTATTTCTTTACACGTTCTAATCATGTCATCTCAGACTTTGTTACGCGAATACATTATCTACTTCCCAAAATGTAACCATCGGACTTAAAAATTTGATGTAATTTATAATTATCGGTAGAGAATAATTATAGATATTGGGCAAAGTTAATCTAGGCGATTTTAAAAGTTTAATGTTTTGGATACGCGATATAATATAATTATATATTTAGGATTATCCTTGAATGTGAGCTCAATGAGAGTAAATTTGAGATTTGATATGCATCTTGCTGTAGCTAATTTTCCTTAGGCATTTAGTAAAACGAAGAAACATTTCCATTTGTGTTTCCCATGACAAACTTAGTTTTCTTTGAAGGAAGGACTCGCGCTGCGGCGCTTTAGCAATCTTGTGATAATGAGTTCACCAGATTTGGTGAGTCATGACCCATTTTTGTAAAGCACTTGATAACCTTTTATTGTGTCAAGAGAAATGTAATATGTTTTAAAATGTTTAATGTGTCCCATTACGAAATACTATGATTACTATTACTATTATCTGTACTGTATACGCGTTATAGTAATTATTGTTATGTCTGTTACTATTAGTACTTTATTGTATGTAATAAATAGGACACGCAAAAAATGAAGTTGAAAAAATAAAATGGATATTTTTATGAAATTTTTCGTTTCCCTTGATACGACATTTGTTCCTATTATAATTTAATAAACGAATCAATTATATTTTTCCGATTAAGCAGTGAAAAATTGTTGTTCAAAACTATTATTTAAATCAACTTTTCATGCAATGGATTATTTACGTGTCACTTATGGTTGTTAGATTATATAGATGTTTAAACTTGACTATGTACTACACAATTACATCATATGATTGATCTCAGGTGTATTTATACGGAGTAATTACGACTTTAAATATTCTATGTTTCTCTCTTCCACAAGACAAATAAATACATGATTCCATTTACAAAAATAATCCTCAACAATCGTACCACGAAATAAAAGATTAATTAGCACAAAAAACACGATAATATAAATACAATAGATTCATTCCTATCTTTTCCTTTGTATTTTTAATGAAATATTAAAAGGAAAGGTGTGTTGCAATTTCTCTGTTAAATAAAAGAGTTAAGAAGTGAGATATCGTTTATTAACTATAAATAATTTGATACTCCGCGTGTAATATGTTCTCAACAACCCGATTATCCAGATGGTGTTCGCGATGAGTGTAATATCTTAAGGATATAATTAAGCCGTGGGCAGCAGCACATGGACCATGACGCATAATACAATATCGAGTATTCACACGTGCATGGGTGCGTGCGATACATAGAGTAGACACTGCGGTTGACATTTAGCTCTTAATTATAACAAGAGATGCCAGTTACTCCTACGATGTCAACCTTAAATTAAATGGTGAATTAATTAACGCTACCTAGCGAACAACGTGAACGAGTTACGGTGGAGCATTTTTCGCGGTAAAATTAAACTCTGTAATAAGGTTTCTTTACAAATTTTTGTAAATTATGCTTATTCTTGACAAACTTGATTTTTCTGTAAATTGCCGCGGGTCTTTCGCCGTTTACCAATCACATCTTTTCTCAGTGGTAAACTACGAAACTACACGATCAGCTTTAACCATGTTTTTGGTTTGGATTTGTTTACAGAAATAGTTCACGTTGTTACATCTAGATTACTCATGCTATAGGTTACACGATCCGCGGTAGCAATAGAAGCAACCACACGAAAAAGTATCTAATACTTGAAAATTATTTTCCCCAAAACGAATGATGGCAATCCGCTTAGAAGAAATATTAAATGGTAATAATTATAGATGGGGCACATCACGATCTCATAGAAACAAAGGTGAGTGACCAATTTTGATTGTAAGTTAAATATATATTTATGATGATTATAGGTTAATATTGGCAAAAGTATACGGAACACGTAGGTAGCGATCGCAAGTAAAAATGTTAATTTCCAATGAGGACTTTTTGAAGATAAGTATTTAAAAACTATATCATTCGGTATTTGCATCGACAGACTGGCATTAGATCGTAAGTTTGCGTGCTGCTAATAAATTCTTCGATATGAATGTTCCCGCGCTAAAAGCTGAAAAGGGCTTCGAACGATCTTTGGCAACGACGAATCTCGAAATGTATTTTAACGAAATTCTTCGTGTCGCTGATCATCCTTGATACATAATTGAACATTTGTGCATTTAGTATTTCACGAGAACGAAAAACCGTATCCACATTTAGTGTTACGTAACACTACTGCATTCGCATAGCATAATGTTGACCAAATGCCACCTCGACTCACCTTGATGCATAAAAGAATTTAAAAGCTTTTATGCAACAATTTCAGAATCGTGTTACATACTTTGATAGAATAAAATTTCTTCCCAATTGCCGCGTAATCGACAGTGTTAACTAGCTCGATGCTTGCTCAGATAAATACTTGACATTTGTATTCTATTAAACATATCCGTTTTGTCGTATAGCGTATCCTGGAGCATGCGTCGCGGCGTCCCGGCGTCCTGGCGTCCCGGCATCCAAGCGACGTGCCTACGAAACTCGTCGAGAAACTCTTCAGTCGGCGTTGCGACGCGCTTCAAACGCCTTTTCATTCGTGTTGGCTTTTCGTTCGTCCGACTGCAAATCAACACGAGATCGAAAGCTGGAAACCACTCTCGGAACGCGATTCTTCTTCTTCTTCTCACTGTGGCGTTGACATTCGTTTGTGACCACGCACTGTTAAAGCATGTGTGGAAATGTGTTTGCAACGGTACGTATGATGGTATCAAAAACTTGACGCATAATCAAACGAAATATGCCGTTCGAATCACTTGTTGCAATTTGTTGCCAATTGTTCTTTGGTTTTACGATGATTAGGTCGTTTTAAGTACCGTAAACTTTTAATGAAACGAGTGATTCAAAGCGAGTGATTTACGGTCCGATTACAGAAAGAATTCTCCTTTCTAAGAGAGAATTAAACACGCGGAAGGTTCATCACGCGATTAACGTGCAACGAGCAGCATTATTCCATTTTAACATATACATATACTTCAAATACCTTGTTATCCCTCTATCCGTCTTCGTTCAAGGAAGTGGATGTCAAACACGACGCAAACACCTGAGCTACCTTTCGATGAAAGGTGTTCGCTGAATTATGAATGCGGTAAAAGCGATAGTCAAGATTACGTTTTCTCCCAGCTCGCTTCTGAACTACATTTCAAATTTCGATACATTTTCACTTCGTTTCCTATCCATTTGGAAAATAAAAATCAATCTAACGCTTGTCGATTCGATTAGATTCGAAGAAATGTAATTTTTCTAATCACGATTATACGCGTATTTCGAAACAATTATCGCGATTGATCATTGGTCCTATGTAAATTTCGAAGAAATCAATGTATTAAAATCGATGCTTGTTTTTGCGTAATATGCAATGTATAATCGCGAATGATGCCATTAGCGATAATATTCGATCACGTTTGAAAAATAATCAGAATATTTTCTCTCGTGCAGCAATGCACGGACACAAGCGCAACGAGAATCGAATCGGCAGGATGGTGATGCCTTCCCGTTTCGACAATTCTAACGCGTACATATGCCTCTGCGTTTTTGTAACTGAACGATTCAAGGCACGATTCCGTTTTGACTCCCGTCCAATTCCTCGCGACCGTCCTCCGTGACTTTTCTGGATAAAAAAAAAGTTTGCCGATTCGGTTGGGCGAATTACAGTACCGGTTTCAGAATTTCGATCGTAATATCCGTACGTTATCGATGACGCTCCTCTATTTGGCGAAACGACGTAATCTCGTGGCGCCGTTATTACCGATGCGTTTCAACCCCATTTGAAATCCATTCACGAGCCGTGTATCCGAGAAAAAACAGTGCGGGTTCCCGACGAACTTAAATTAAAAATGTTGCGCGTGCGACGTGCAGCGAATAATCCAATCGAATCGGATCCGATCGAATCGAACTATCCGTTCGCCATCGGCGAACCCACCGTATCTCGGATACCTGCAGGTAGATTGCGGTAATATTTATGGTTACGCGAGGACAACGGCTACGAACTTGCCGAAATTCGATGCATCGACCAACTTGCGAACACGTTATCGAAAGAAATCCGATAAAAAAGGCCCCTTTCTGCGCCATATTTACGTATAGAGAACGATTTGTAGTCTAGATGGACTTTCCGCGATACTTTGCGTTTTCTCGAAATACACGAGAATTGTTTCCGATTCGTCGTATCATTGTTGGTTAAACGATCGGATCCGATTCAATGGAATAGACAAAGTTCTTAAAATTTCGAACGAACGATATCGCGTTTAGCATCGCGCATAACATATGTATGCGGTAACTCGGGTCTATAATTTGGCAAGACCTTCGCGAATAAACGTCAAAGATATCGACAATGATGGCAAATAACGAAGCTCCAGGGGAATCGTACTATTTCCAAGCGGTTAACTTCCTCGGGGGGTAAATTCTAAATAATAGCGCTTGAAACAGTTGCCTGGATCGGTAATCGTGTCAGATTTCAGTACGGCTCAGCTCGGCTCAGCACAGCTCAGCTCAGTTTCGGCTCAGCTCAGTTCAGCTCGGTTCAGTTCGGTTTGGAGTCGTTTTCTCGCGGAGATCTGGACAGAAAATGAGAATAGTCCAGGGAACTCTGTTAATTTTCCTGCAGCTAGTGCCTGGACGGAAATTTCGTCGCGATACAGTTGATACGGTCGGTCGAATGTCTACGTGCTAATTCCGAACGGTCGCGTTCAAAGATCAGATTCAGATCTTGAATGGCGGTAGGGAATACGTTTGCAAAATGTTATGGCGAACCCTTTTATCGTGACTTTTATTCGGAAAATTTTTGCTAGTTTCGAAAAAATGCCGGTTTATCGAGATGTTAGTAATTCGACTGGATAAAAAAGAGATAAAGTCGCCAACGCTTCCTTGTCCGGATAAGGAAATATAATCGGATAGCCAGATTAGAATAAATTTCTCAGCACGTACGTAAGTTATGCGTCTAGAAGCAAGAAATTGCTTTCTAAGATGATGTTATGCACGAGTTGTTTGTTTCAAAGCGAGAAGGCGGGTCCGAAATTGCGAAGATCGAGAACGTCGTACGCTTAATTTCGCTGATTAATTCGCTCTTTAATATTCTACTATCATTTTTCCGATATACGACGCCATTCTTAATCCTCCGCCTCCCAACCCTCCGTTTTATTTTATTTTCCTTTTCCCTCTGATTAATCTTTTTTCTCGCTGCATCTCAACGTCGCGTTTTAACCGGTAAATTCAAACGAGAGGCAAAGCCATTGACAGAAGGGGAGGGCCCGAGCTACAGCAAACCGCCACAAACTGGGAAGAAATCTCGAAGAATTAATCGGTCTTTGAGATTGAAACGCGTTAAGCGTCGTTAACAAAGGCTCGCGAAAGCGGAACTGGAAAGACTCGCTGGATATGGAAGTTCTCCCTTGGTAGTCGTGTTTCATTAGCTATGATCTTGAAAGTAATTCCCCGGTCTGCTTCTTCTCGTCGACACCCTCTTTTTGCGCCTTTAAAACGATCACGAAGGAA